GGGGGGGGGCAATTCAACGAAAAACGCCTGGCCACGGGGGGCCGGAGGCGGCAAGCAAATGAAAAACACAAAAAAAACCCGCCCGGCCGGACGACTAACCCATTCCATGCTAGCACAGGTGTTTTACTGTTGCAGCGAAAAACTCCAGCACATTGGAAAAATGTTTCGCGAAGCAGCAAAAAGAGGGGAGTTATTTCTCTCGAAAACAAACAAGAAGGCGGATTGCAGATTACATATTTGCTTCTTCATCGCTGCTCCCAATTCTTTCTTTTTTTTCTTTCCTTTTACGCATGTTGGTAGTATTGCTGCTCGATTGTCAGCGGGTTGGCGCTCGCCCTCTCTTGCGCACTGTCCCTCTTCTTGCCCTCGGCGTCCAAAACGCTTCCCGTCTTGGACCGCACCTCGCCCCCAGCGTATGTCTGCAACTCTTGCGCGAGATGCGCCGCAAACGCGCCCGCTGATGCCGCATATCCAGGCAGAGAGTTGGCAATAAAATTGCGGATGAGGCTTCTCAAGTGATCTACCGCAGAGCAAAGCTCAGACTTCTTCACCTCGAATTTTTCCGAGGACAGGTCGCGTTTTTTGGCCAGCTTGCGGTACGACTTGCTTTCGGCAAGCACCTTGTTTTTACTGGCATATTCTCTTTCGGTCTCGCTGATCTTGAAGCGATACTTGTCGTTCGATTTCTTTAATTCCTTCACGGCCTTGTAAAGCTTGGCGGCTCTGTCACGCTCCGCAAAAATGGTCGGGAGTTCATTTTTCACAAATTGTTTCATGTCCATCTGCAGGGAAGTCATGGCCGGTCCGTCCTTTAGTTTTCGCATCTCCGCCTCAAACTCTTTTGACATGATCTGTGTGCTGCGATCGTTCCCCTGTGCGATTGTTGAGAAGGTTTGGGCCACCCTTTCGTACGATGACAATAGCTGTTGATAAATGGTGATGGTCTCAGCAACATTCTTCTCAAAATCCTTGAACGTATTAGTCACCTCCTCAATAAACACCCCCTTCTCGTCGAGCTCCTTGTCGGCCGTCTCCGGAATCTTTGCACAGCATGGCATCTCTTCGAAGATACTCCTCTTCTTTTGGTATGGGGTGTAGTTGGAACTTTGCTTTCCTCCTCTGCCAGCAGAGGGTGAATAAGAGAATGACGCGGAAAACGGAAGAAATAAAGAAAAAGACGACAATCATACGCCACAAGACAAAAGAGCAACCAAAACAACATCCACAAAATATTTTTCAAAAAAGATAAACAATCCATCAAAAAAAATTCCCTTTACTCATTTTTCCCGCATTGGCTGTCACTAGAAACCTCATTCCCACTCCATTATCTCCGTCAACGCCATGTGGTTGAGTGTGGGTTCTCGAGACTCCACACAAACGCCTCCCCCCCACCCGCTTCCTCCCCCCAGCACTTCCATACCAATCGCTGCGGTGCAGTTCCAGCGGCAACGACAAACCGCTGCAAATAGTGTCATCAGAGCCATTTTTCGCAAATCAGACGCAGCGAAACCCCGACCCACCCCCGCGAGCGCGCTCGCATATCGCCATGCCCTTTATTAGAAAGAAGCAAAAGCGAGGACAAAAGCATCAGACAGCCACACCCACTTCCAAGAAACAAGAGACCTTCCCCCCACCCCCTTCTGTGCAAACGGGCTCGGTATGGCTTGATCCGCTGCGGGG